CAATGATCCGTGATGCTGTGGCGCTCAAAGGCAAGATTACATCAGCTGAAGACAAGAGAGTTCCTTGAGAACCTAGTAGTAATACAAAAGAGGAAGGTTTCACCTGGGAGGGACAAGTTCCTTACCAGCCTAACGCATTCCTCCTACTGTCCTGGGAATGGTGGCCCTCGTCGGCATGAGAGTTTCATCAACATAGGATCAGGGCTGCCTCCCTAAGTCACGCGATACTCCCTCCAATAATTGTGTGTACCCAATAAACAATGGCTAGTAGGTAGAGTCTCGGTCTGTGCCACTCTGAGGCACTGACCTCCCAGCCCCCATATACTTTTAAATTACGCAAGTCTCTGTTGTCTTTTTTTCTTTAGCCCTCGCTGTCCACCTTGCTGGGCAGTTGGAGGATTGACCGGCCTCCCATACTGCTTCCTTTCTAGAACTTTCAAACAAGGTTCTCAAAACAGAAGTTTACTTCTCACATCCACAGTTGGGCAGGTGGTCCATCCACTTCAACTTTCCAGCTTGGCAGTCCTGAGGACCTGTGTTCCTTCTACACTATTGCTTGTCTTGGTCACTTGTGCATCACTAAGATAGAATATCCAACACTCATCACTCTGAAAGGAGGGAGGTTTATTTTGGCTCACATTCCAGAAGTTTCAGTCCGAGTTGGCAGGCTCAAACTCAGAAACAGCATGGCGGAAGGGCCGGAGGTAGAGAAAAGCTGCATATATCATGGTGTCCAGGAAGCAGAGAGAGTGAAGGGAGGAGCTGAGGAGGGAGGCCATGCCTCCAATGACCTGCGTCTTCTGACCAGATCCAACTTTGTAATATCACATTCAGCTATAACACCCCCAATGACCTAATCCCAGCTCTGAGAGTGGAGCTTACATTCTTGGTCAGGAGGAGAAAATGGTTTGTTTTTTTTTTAAATGAGTAGGAGTCATTCTTGTGCTCACTTCGGCAGCACATACATTAAATGAGTAGGAGTCATTCTTGATCTAAACCACACCATTACTCTGCCATGTTCTAGGGCAGGGGTTGGTAAACTATGGACTATAGACAAACTATAGCATCTTTTGTACGACCCTCAAGCTGAGAACTTTTTTTTCATTTTTGAATGTTTCAAAAAAATCAGAAGAATTCTATTTCATGGCACATGAAAAATTTATGAAATTCAAACTTCAGTGTCCTGCCCCATCTATCCTTAGACATGTTATCTGTAGCCACTGAAGAGGGTTGAATCATGTCCCTGCAAAGCATGTTCAAATTCCAACTCCTGATTTCTGTGCACATGACCTTGTTTGGAAATAGGGTCTGTGTAGAGGTAACCAAGTTAAAATGAAGTCATGTTGGTTAGAGTAGGCCTTACAATCAATGATTGGTGTCATCATAAAAGGTGGACAGGGAGATTGGAATACAGAGGCCCCAGTACACTCACAGGGAAGACCGTGAAAAGATGGCATAGAGCTCAGAATGTCACATCCACAAGACAAGGAAGCCCAAGGATTGCCAGCAATCACAGGACCCAAGATGAAGCAAGGTGTGGCTCTGATCTGGGGCCTTCAGAGGGAGCACGGCCCTGCTGACAATTTGGTTTTGGCCTTCCAGGCTCCAGAACTGTGAGAAAGAGCATTTCTGTTGTTTTGAGCCACCCAGCTTGCAGTACTTTGTTATGGTGGTCCAAGAAACCAGATAGGACTGCTTTGGTGCCTCATGAGCAAACCTGAGTAATTGTAGACATTGTATGGCCCACAAGCCTACAGTATTTTCTCTGTGGCTCTTTACCTCTGATCTAGAGTATTGGCTTAGTTTGTATGGCAGGAGGTAGCATGCTAAGACATCTACAAAAGAAAAAAACTACCCACCTGTTAGCATTGCCCTCATTTTATAGATGCTATGTTGCTTAATCATGATTGGCAAATTGGCTGAATTAAAAGACTGCTGGAGAGATTATTGGACCATGAGGGCACTAACCTCATAGCCGAATGGGCTATCAGGAGGTGAGGCCTTCTTGGAGGAAGTGGGCCCTGCAGGCATGACTTTAGCTTCTTTTGCTCTGCTCTTCCTGTTCTCTCTACTTCCTGGATGCCATGAGTTGAGCAGCTTTCCCCAGCCATACCTTTCTACTATATTTCTACCTTGGAGTCAGCTAACCATGTACTGAAACCTCTGAACCTGTGAGGCAAAAATAAACCTACCCTCCTGTAAGTTGCAGGTATCAGGTGTATGGTCCCAGCAACAGAAAAGCTGAGCAGCACAGATTGGGAGATTGAATCAAAACAAGGTTACGACTTAATTAGAGGAGGTGGCCATCTGTCCTTTGCACATGACAAAATATCCCATCCCTATTCTTCTACTCACAACACCATTACTTTCCTTGGAGGCTGGAGGGGGCAGGGGCACCTCTCTGTACAATCCTCACAGTTGACGCTGACTCTGTGTTCTGGTTCCAGGGTCAGGTACTCAACTGTACCAGTCAGCTTGAGTTGCTGTGACAGACACCACAGGCTTAGTGGCCTAAACAGCAAACTATCTCCTGGGTCTGGAGGCTGGAAAGCCTAAGATGAAGGCCTGGCAGGGTTTGGCTTCTGGTGAGGGCTCTCTTCCTGGCTACTAGGTGGCCACTTTCTTGCTGTGTCCTCACATGCCTTTCCCTAGTGAGTGCATGTGCAGAGAGAGCTGTCTGTCTGTCCTTATAAGACCACCAATCCTATCACTAAGGACCCCATCCTTATGACATTAACCTTAATTAACTCAGGAAAGCTCTGTCTCCAAATATAGTCATCTTGGGGATTAGGGCTTCAACACAGAAATTTGAAGCAGGGTATAACCCAGGTAAGGGAGATCAGTGTATTCTCTTTCTTTCTTGTATGTGTGTGTGGTGGTGGGGGACAGGGTCTCACTGTACAGTTCAAACTGGCCTTGAACTCACTATGTAGCCCAAGCTAGCCTCAAACTGGAGGTGATACAGGCATGCACCATCATGTCTGACTTGTATTTTCTTGCCAGACTTTCCACATATGACCCAAAGCTATCCGAAGGCATGGCATTTGCTGCAGCTTTCAGGAGAATAAGGCTCTCTTCTGTGCACTAAATGTGAGACTAGAGAAGCTGGGCCTTATACTGAGGAACTGTCCGGGAGAACAACCAACTTAGAAGGAAACAGAGCTAAGTACTGGAGGGCAAACAGGTACTTACAGCATTGTAGCACCTAGATCCAGCTGTACCTGAATATATGCCCTAGGGACTTTTTAGTTAACATGACAGTGTAGTTCTACCCGAGTTTCTGTTGCTTGTAACCTGAAGAGTTCTGATGAACAGACTAACAGTAGTGGAGACGGGATCTGAAGGTAAATTTGCTTACCATTAAATAGCTCAATTCAGGGTTTCCTGGGAGTAATTCCAGAGCCACGCTCTGAGTTCTGGGTCCAGACGGCAGCTGGGTTCTCATATTCTTTAATGCATGTACCCTTGCTCTCCTTAGATAGCAACAGGAGTAAGAAAGGTACAATGAGTGTGAATAAAGATGATTGTTCAAATAAATTCAGATTATTTCTGGGAGTGCCTGCCGTTATGAAACAGAAGTTTGTCAGAATGGAGGTTTCAGTGTAGCTCCTCACAAAGGACTCAGATAAGTCCCAGCAGACAGGGCAGGGGCACCCTCTGGACCCTTTCCCTGGGGATCCTGGCCCCTGGCTTTTCTGGATGCCTGAGTTCAAGGAACAGCTCTGCCAGGGATGTGTGACTTTGAGGAAGAAGCTGGACCTATCTGGGACTCAGTTTCCACCTCTGATATATGGGGAAAATCATAACATTTCTTAGCATTAAAGTGAGCAGCCAGTGAGTGAGTACAATGTGACGAGAGCACACTATAAATCCTTTGTGAAAACTGTATTATTCCTAGGCTCCTCCTTATTCATGTCTCAGACTAAAGGCTACCCCAGTCACCTGCGTCTCACTTCCAACATAGTTTTGTTTCTTTCATAATTTTCTTGCTACGAGATCTTTTAATTTATTTTTGCAGCATTGGGGAGTGATTCCAGGGCCTTCACAGTGAAGCCTACATCCCCCAGCTCTTTTTTAATTTTTATTTTGAGACAGGGTCTCATTATGTCGCCCAGGCTGAGCTGGAACTTGGGATCCTCCTGCCTCAGCCTCCCAGAGTGCTGGGATTACAGCTGTGAGCCACCTGGTTCTGGCTAGATCTTTTTTTTAAAAAAAATACTCTCCATTTACAAGGCTATAGGCTTCAGGCAGGGCAGAAGTCTACTCTATTTGGCCAACTGCTAATTTCCCCAGCACCTCATTTCTGCCGGGCACATAGTAGGTGCTCAATCAGTTCAGTAGCAGCACAGGGCAGGGGCCCCTTCTGTCCGGGGACTGCCACGCCGCCACCAGGACTGGCTGGGGGTGGGGCTGGGGTGGAGCGAGGGCTGGGCAGTCCGGCTGGAAGCGCTTTCCTCCTCCTTTTCAACTTCCCAGCGTAACTTCAGGAGAGCCTCCTGGAGGAACGGAGCCTGCGCCGGGCTGCGGCCTTCCACTTCTGCCCGGGACCGGGCGGCCGGCCGGAGAAGAAAGTCCCGCCCGCCCGCCTGGCGTCGCCGTGAGGCGCAGGCCCGGGAGGGGCCGACCCCGCCCGCCGCCGGTCTGGCGCTCGCTCGCCGCAGACTCCGGCTTCGGCATTTCCTCCCGCGGGCTGGCGCGGCGTCGCCTCTCCCCCGAAGAGGAAGCTGCGGGCCGAGTAACGGGCTGAGCTCCGAGGGCCGCGCGGGGTAGGCGGACAGCCGGGCTGGGCGGGAGCGGGCCGAGGGCAGCGCGGCGGGGCGGGCGCAGGGCGCGGCCCGCGCGGAGCAGGCCGCAGCTGGAAGGAGAACTTGAGCCGCGGGAGGAGGAGGCCGGGCTGCAGGGCGGCTGCCCCGGGGCCTGCGAGGGGGGCGCCGTCGCGGAGGCCGAGGTGACGGAGGCCGCGGGGCCGCCCGGGCGCTGCGCGCATGCGGGACCGGGGGCGCCGCCCGGGCTCGCGCCCTGGGCTCCCCGGCCACCGCAGCCCCGGGCGCCCGGCATGTCGGTGCACTACACCCTCAACCTGCGCCTCTTCTGGCCCCTGGTGACCGGCCTGTGCACCGCCCTCGTGTGCCTCTACCATGTCCTGCGGGGGGACGGGGCGGCCAGGACCGAGCCCCCCGACGGCGCGGACAGTGGCTTCCCGCTGCTCAAGGTGGCCATCCTGCTCCTGCTCGGCTATGTCCTCCTGCGCTGTCGCCACGCTGTCCGGCAGCGCTTCCTGCCAGTCTCTTCCCGCCTGGTGGGCCACTCTGCCTTCTCCCCCAGACACCTCTCGGAGCCCGGCCTTGGCATCTTGTTGGAGAGTTACTACGAGCACGAGGTGCGCCTGTCGCCTCACGTGCTGGGCCACAGCAAGGCGCACGTGAGCCGGATCGTGGGCGAGCTGGTTCGGGCTGGCCGAATCCGGGGGTCCCCAGGCCCAATCTCCGGGGGAGCGTTGGCTTTGGCCTTCCGCGGGGACTTCATCCAGGTGGGCAGTGCCTACGAGCAGCACAAGATCCGCCGGCCGGACAGCTTCGACGTGCTGGTGCCCCTGCGCCTGCCGCCGCTGGTCGCGCTGGAGCCGCGGAGCCTGGGCGCAGAGCCTGCTCTGGCCCCCGCCTTCCACAGCTGCTTCGTGTGCGCCCTCAAGGCACCGCCCTCGCCGTCTGGAACCTCAGGGGGCCACTGGCTCCGGAACTGCAAGCCCTTCGCAGACAGCTTCTGCGTGGATGTCCATGGCCAGCGCCACCTCTCTGCCACTTTGGTGCTGCGCTGGTTCCAGTCTCACCTGCAGCGCTCCCTGGCCACCGTGCGCTACAAACTGGAAGAGTGCTGTCGGGTCAGCCTGACCCCTGGTGGCCTGGAGCAGCCTCCTACCCTACACATCCTGCCGTGCCGCACGGATTATGGCTGCTGCCGCCTTTCCATGGCCGTACGTCTCATCCCTGCGGTCCATCTCGGGGACTGCGTCTTCCTGGTGGCACCACCTCCGCCGCCCTCCCCTGTCGGGCCCCTCTCCGAGCTCCCGGGAGGCCTGCGCTCCGAGGCACTGTGGGGTGTGAACACAGCGCGCCAGGAGCAGAAGCTGCTGGGCTGGCTTCAGGAACGGGCCGCTCCAGGCGCCTGCTACCTCAAGTGCCTGCAGTTGCTGAAAGCTCTGCGAGATCTGGGTGCCCGCGGGCTGGACCCGACGGCTGCCACCCAGTGGGGACACATGCTATCCTCATATGTGCTCAAGACCGTGGTGCTGACGGTGTTGCTGCACGAGGGGACTGCAGGGCCAGGCTGGGATGAGGCACACCTGAGCGAATGCTTGGAGGAGCTGGTGCAGTTCCTCAAGGCCTGCCTGCTGGGACGCCAGACTCTCTTCCACTGCGTCCTGGGCCCGGGTGGGGCGGCCGCAGAAGTGGGGCCTCTGCCCAAGGTACTTCGAGAAGCTGCCCCCGTGGACCTCCTGGCCGCTTTCGACCTGCACACCCGGGAGCTAGCAGCAGCGAGGTTGCTGTCCACTTGGCGAAGGCTGCCTCAGCTTCTCCGGGCCTATGGTGGTCCTCGATATCTTGCCAGGTGCCCCCCTTCTTGGAGTCAGCGCACTCAGGGGTTCCCTGAACAGGAACCATAGACACTGACAGCCCCCTCATCTGCTGAATGCTCCTAGAGCCTTTCCCACGGGTGGGGGCTGGGGTATGGAGAGAGGGATTACACTCTCAGTGGGCCGAGGGAGATGTTGGCCAACTTGGGGAATGCCACAGGCTCCGGTGGCTTAGATGTTTCACACCCTGGCTCCACAACCCAGTGTAGTTACTGCATCTTCTTTACACCCGCTAGAGTGTCCTGGGTAGACCAGGGAATGACACCTGACTGCAGCTACTGAGAGTTTGTCCCCTTGATGTCCGTGCACAGCCTGGTAGAAAGATCCAGCTTGTAGGGAAGGCTAGCAAAGGAGGCGGGACCAATTGCAGAGAAAGGTCCCTTTGCTGGTTTTCAGACATAGATCTCTCTGCCCTAAAGTTTTTAAACATGAGTATTTCTGACATACCTATTTGCTAGGTACTGGGTTGCCAATTCCTTTTATTTTTTTTTTTTCTGAATCCACAACTGGAATCGAAGTTATGTTCCACAGTTAATATTCTGTGGAACATCATTCCTTCATTCAGATTAATATTAATGTACTTCAATGGTGTAATCACAGGTGCCTGATAGGATTGTCAGTAAGTCACGTGTCTTGAGAGGCAATTGAGAGTTGGTTGGAGAGGTTTCCAGAGCAAATAGCACTTTATATTGATTGGTTTTCTTGTTTTGTGGTGATTGTTATGTTGCATCTGAAAGGGGGCCAGGAACATGTGTTATGAAGTCATGTGCAGTTTCGAAAAGCAGCCGACGTGATCTCTTACCACCCAGCAGCCACAAGCTGAGCTGTGTCCCAGTCACACAGCACCAGTTCATCGAGTGCCTGAGCAACAAAATCCGTAATTAAGACCATGCTGGCGAAGCCATCAAACGTGTTGTGTCTTGAAAAAGATACAGTTTGGTCTTTGCCTATTAAAATGTCTGGCAAGGGTTTGCTGCTGGCTGGACACAGAAACCTTTTCTGACTTTACGGGTTTTTAGCAGACTCCTCTGCAAAGGTTTCTTTCTGAGTTTAAGGAGAGAATGGAGAGGAAATGAACGGTCTTCTCGTTGGCTGACATGTTATGGCTCCCAGTGCACAGTGATGGTTCGTGGTTGGAAGGGACTTCTCACTTGTCCAGGCAGCCCGTGGTCCCAAGGGGCCAGCTTTGAGGGGCTCTTGATTTAGCCTGTGTCTTGCAAAAGACAGAGTTCAGTATCTTAGGATCTGTGCTTGGATGTCACTTACTTCCAAGCAGTGGGCAGAGGAGGTAGAGGGTAGAGGAACTAAGTTAGAGGAAGAGCAAAGGAAACAGTCTTTGAGAGAAGTCATCTCTTTTTGGGGGTGGGGGAGAAGTACCCCAGGGTTGGATGTTGTTGTGCAGCCCGGAGGAGCCCGTTTGCTCACAATTCAAGGTTAGAATGGCCCATCACCTGCTTGCCTGGCTAAAAGTGCAGCCAGTCTCAGCATTGAAGGTACTTGGAGATTTTTTTTTTTTTTTTTAAAAACAACAACAAAGACATGTGCTTCCTTAGACTCTCAAAAGCAAAACTTGGAAGACAGAAGTAGTTACACGAATAGACCCCTTGTTTCATTTCTGAGCTATTTTGAGGAACTTCTATAAACCTCTTTTCTTTAGGGGACCGCTTGGCCGCTGTGGGAAATCATTGTGAATAAATGATTTACAGGGAATCTTTGTCATCAGAGCTGCCTGGGCTTCTTGTATCCTTGGCAACCGTGGGCTGAAGGAGAAACAGCTGCAGATGTTGTGAGGTTGTTCTGGGGACCATTCCCCTTGACGCTCCGAAGTTCATTCTTAGCTTTGGAGGCTAATGTTATATCATACGGTACTGCATTGAGCAAAAGGATTAGTCCACCAGCTTCCTGCAAAGATACGAACTGCACAGTGTTTTTAAAAATTACTTTTAAGTGCCAAGAGTAGATTATATATATTTCCATACTCAGCCTGACTTCCCCAGTAGTCATTAAATCTGCTCGGGGTGGGGGGGCTATTGGATGGATTATAAAGCTTTATTTTTTTATTTTTTGGATTATAAAGCTTTAAAAGTTAAATTTTCCACATAGGTCTAGCTGAGATAATGGGTTCCTTTTTAAAAATTGTAATAATATTTTAAAGTATAAATCTGGTAACATACTATTCTTATAGTTTATTCTGGTATGATTGCTTTCAGGTTAATTAGTGCCTCATCCATCCTCGAGGTTTTTAAATTTTATTTTTTTAAATTAATGAGCATTGTATTTGTGTAGTTTTAAAATATTAATGTTTTATTTAAATGCCATGCCGAGCAATTGTTCTCCGTACATGGTAGCCAAAACTTAGAGATTTCGATCAATTTTGATCAATGTTTAGTAATCCAAAACATGTACTGTGTACAAATGAAATAATATGGCATTTTAGCCAGGCGTGATCCTTGCCTGGGGCATTTAAGTTAAGCTCAATTCTGTATTTTATTGGGGCTTCATCACATCCTTCATCTGAAATGTACACATTTTTGGTGTATGCTTGGTACTGGAGATTCATGTATGCAAATATTCTCATATAAGAAGGTGATACCAAAATGTTTTTAATTGCTTAGCCAGTGGCCAAAGAAAATGTTCTGGGGAAGATGACTCAGGCATTTTGGGGTGAGACACCCGGCAGGAACTCCCACTGACCGGGCTTGGAGCCTTCTTGGAATGCTCTTGAGAGGAGATGGGTATTGCAAAATGGAACTATAGCTGAAAGAAAGAATGCATGGGAGCTAAGAGAAATTGGAGGAATTCAGGAAGGAAGGCTTATGATGGAAGTGGAAGGAAGAGAAGGTAGAAGGGAGATTAGGTGAAATCCTATGAGGATGTGAGCGAGGTTTGGGTTTAGAAAACACATTTTTTAGGTATGTGCCAAGAGTCAAAAACTCAGTAGCCTGCAGGAACTAGGGAGGGGGAGGGAAGGGGTGAGAAGGTGGTGGGAGCTGAGCCCAAAAAAGGGAATAAAAATTACTCAGCTCCATGCAGGAAAGGGGAAGGAGGGGCTGGAAATCAGGACTTTTTTTTTTTTTTTTAAAGGTGAAATTAACTGATTTTTAAACAAATACGTTTAAAATGGCCAAAACATTGAGTAGGCCAGACAAAACATTTGGCTGAGCCTGGGGACTACCAACTTGCGACAACTGCCTTACACAGTTAACACCCCCAACTACGTATGACGTTATATTCTTTGCAGTAGAGATGATGGTGTTATACATAGTTGAGGGTGTGATACTTCAATTCTTTATCTCTCAGACTGAAGTTTTATTGTAGGACCCCCCCCCCCATAAAAAAATTAACACGGCCACGGATAACACTAAACTCACAGCTGCCAGAAAAACCTCAATTCTGGAGCCGTTCTTTTGAGTCAGATCCTCCATCAACCTACCCAGGGCCTGTTCTTGTCATTTCCTTCCTGGCAATTTGGGCTAAACTCCTTCGCTCCATTGGAGTCTGCAGATGAGTAATCAGGAAGGATTGCAGAATAACTTGGTTTTTTGTATTTATTAAAATTATTTTTTTGCTCATGCTATCCCAGCCCGTGCCTTTCTGATGATGGTTGGTGGCTACAAAAACAGAGCTGGGGCTCTGGGCTAAGCTTAGATTTGCCCCATTCCTAATGCTGAGAACCCAGTTCTGGTCAGATTCCACTGTCCAGGATTTGGATCCCTTTCTGGCTTGATGGCTCCCACCAAAATGAACATCCTACAACTCAGGAGGCACCCACCAAACATGCTTCCAGGGCATCTCGGGTAACCTGGAGTAGGATACCTTTTTCTTTTGCATGTGACTCTGACCTGGCCGACGATAATCTTCTCATCTCTACTCCTATGAAGATTTTTTTTCCCCCACTGATAGAGAAAGTGAACCTCATTCACATTTCCAGTGGTCCTCAGGAGGGAAACAAGTTCAGTGTTATCAATGTGGTGCTTGTTATTTTTTTTTGAAATCACTTGTCTGTGACTTAGATACATGTTTGTTTTTTTATATCTACATAACAGATGATGGGGTGGGGCTGGTGCAAGTGCCAATTGGGAGAGGACGGACGATATGCAATCACGTGTACAGAGAAAATAGATGAAAATGTGCCGCGAAACCCTATATAATGTATCAGATATTCAGGAATATTTTAGCACCTTTCGCCTTAAAGAAGTGCCTTGATTCAGTCACTCGACTTAGAACACTCCTCCTGTTTCATGGTCATTGTAATGTGTCTTCTGACCCCAAATTGTGTATTGTAATGCAATCTGGAAGTGGAAGTCAAAAGTTTTTTCCAACAACAGAGACCAAAGAGTTAATCACATATGGTTCAGCTGCTAAGATTTTGTGATTAAAAGGCATTTTAATCACACCACATTTCCATGACCCAAATGGTCAAGCAAGGTCTGCTGTTAGTTTTGTGTGCCAAGTCGGAGTAAATTTGCACTTTCAATCTCGTGGGTCATTTGGGGACCTTGTTCTTTTACATTTTGCTGTATTAATAAAGAAAATTGTGGAAAGCTCTGGACTCACTCTCAGCCTCGGGGAAGGCTGTCATCCTCCTGGAGGGTAGCCTGCACGTGCACCGGCCTGTGGTTCTCCGCAGAAGTCTCCACGGCGGCTGTGCAAGTCCTTTCACACAGAGTGAAGCGGGGGTGGTGGTTGGTACAGAACTGGCTCCATACCCGGGTGGGGAAACACACTCATTTTCAGCCCTGTTAAGTGTTCTTTGCTGCCTCTCCTCTCCGCCCCGACACACTCACACCCTCCACAGACACAATTCAAGTCTTGGCCTGTGGCTAATTCATAGCTTAATTTTGCCCAGAACTGTCTTAGGCCCTGGGGCACTCTGGGAATGATAAACATGTGCTAATATGAAAAACAAGGGTTAGCTGGAGATGGAATCTTGGAGATCAGGTAGGAAGGCTCAGAGCCAAGCAGAGCTTGAGGAAATCCTGCTTTCACGTGCTGATTAAACAGTAGTTGTGTGGAATATATCCCTGGTAGGGAAGTTGGTGGATGGGTTCAAAGTTTCTGATGTGTGATACTGTCCCTGGGCATTAAGGGCAGACACGGGTGCCTGGAACAGACTTGGCCTCGCCCTTTCATGAGATCACAAACTGAGGGAGGTAACTTGGTGTTACACTTGTAAGCCAGCACTCTGGGAGGCTGAGGCAGAAAGATTTCAAGTTTGAGCCCAGCCTGGGCAACTTGGTGAGACCCTGTCTCAAAGGAAGGAATGTTTTAAAAAGGCTGGCATGTAGCTCAGTGAGAAGGCCCTGGGTTCAATCCCCAGTATCGGATAAAGGTGTTTGGGGGAGGGGGGGTCCCTATAGGGTGGGCAGCCCTGGGTAGGAGAAGGTAATGAAAACAGGAGAGACACACCTGTGTGGCACAGGCATCCCAGAAGGGCTGCTTGGAGGAAGCACCCAAGTTGAGATCCATTCCAGTGACAGGAATTAGCCAAGCAAAAGCTGGGCTGGGGAAGAAGGATTCTAACACTGAGGTGAAAGAAATTCTCTGGTTTTGCTTGAAGTGGTGGTGGACAGGAAAGAGGGGACTTCAACAGCAAAGGATGAGGTGGGAGGGGGAAGAAGGTACCAGGACAGACAGCTCTGGCTTCCAGACCCCCCTGGCTGGCTGGGGAGAAGGCAAGTTCTAACTCAGTACATCTGGAGGAACTCAGCAGGACCTGGGACTCTGCCTGCACTGCAATAACTACTGCTCCTGCGCTATATGAGCAGAGTGGAGTAACTGACAGAGAGATCAAATGGAGCACAAAGTTGAAAATATTTACTTTCTGGCACTTTATATTAAAAGATGGCCAACTGCTGGAGCAAGACTGGAAATAATCAGCTGTTGCAGTGGTTCAAGCCTGGGCAGGAGGCCTGTGATGGGGACAGAGAGACAAGTCAGTGACGGAACAGTGGCATGTTCTAATGCCAAAACCTGTCTTCAGATCTTGCATCCTGTACTTCCCATCGTATGTCTCTTTGCACGTTACCTAATTCTCTCTGAGCCTCGATTGCCTCATCTGTAAAACGGGATTGGTAATGGAAGCTTGCTCACAGGCACAATTGAGGGTTACATGAGATTCTGTGTGCATATTGCTTGGCACATTAATAAGCACCGAGTACAATTCACTGCAGAAGTAGTTATTGCAGTGGAGTTTTCATGTAGCCAGTCTCTTCCTTTTCCCCTTTTGCTGCTCATTCCCTCCCCATTACAGGGTCTGTTTCACTACTGTCCTGTCCACCCCCAGCCATCTCCCTGCTACTCAGCTTTTTTTCAGCTCTCTAGGTCCTGGTCCCCAACCCTTCCTATACCTATTCCCTTTACAAAGTGACTTTGCGTCTTTCTATCAAGATTTCACCTACCTCTTGAATCTGGAATTGCTCGGAGACTTTTTTCAGTCTCTAGAATGTGGCAGAAGGGACACAGTGCTGGTCTAGGCCTAGGCCTTAAGAGGCCTTGTCTGTGCACTGCTGTTGTCTTGGAAAGCTGCTGCCGCCCTGTGAACAACCAGCCTGCGGGAGGATGTGCCACCACATGGCTAAATCAACCCTGTTACTGGACCTGGCAGCCAGCTAACTGTGAGATGTGTGAGTTAGGCCACCCTAGACCAGCTCACCAGCCCCTGCCATCCACAATGCCCTAACAGTCGACTGAAGGAAACCCCCAGCCAAGATCAGCTGACCCTGGCCAGGATCAGCAGAGACCTTCAGCTGACCACAGACTCTGAGCAATGAGACAGGAACTTTTTGTTAGGCCACTGAATTTGTGGTGGCTTGTCATTCAACAATAACTAACTCATTTGGATGTGTCCCACAAAGTTCACGTGTTGGAAACTCAATCCTCAATGCAATACAGTTGAGAGATGGTATCTCTGTCACTTTCCTGTCACTGAGGCAAAATACCTGACACATACAACCAACAGGAGGAGAGCTTTATTTTGGTTCACAGTTTCAGAGGATTTAGGCCATGGATGATTGACTACAAAGCAAAAACAGCACGGTAGAAGGGGGAGGCAGCCAGGAAGCTGGAAACAAGAAAAGTGACCGCTTGTGCTGACCAGGCCCCACTTCCTAACAACACATTCAGCTATGAACTCATGAGTAGATGAATCCACTGATGAGTAAAGTGCCCCCATGATCCAATCACCTTCTAAAAGCTCCACCTCTGAACACATGAGACTTGTAGGGGACATTTTTAGATCTAAACCATAACAGATAAGACCTTACAAGGTGATCACGAGGGCTCTGCCCTCCAGAATGGACTGATACTCTTATCATGGGAGTGGGTTCCTGATTAAATGATGAGTTCAGCTCCCTTCATCTCTCTCTTGAATGCCCTCTTGCCCTTCTGTCTTCTTCCACTACATGATATAGCAGGAAAGCCCTTGCCAGATGTGGGTCTCTTAGGCTTGAACTTCCCAGCCTCCAGAACTATAAGAACTAAATATGCTCTTTCTCAAGTATTCCATTATAGCAGCATAAAATAGGCTAGACAGGATTTTTAGTAAAATCTGACATACAAAGGCTGCCACCAGGATGGATAAAGGTAGACCTCCATTTCTGTACATTTGACTTTCAAACAGCCAGACTTTCATACAGGCAGTTGAGTGATGCCCCAGTCACCTTCCCCATGGTGAGCAAAGGTTCTGCACCAGCTGAGAGGCCTTAGGGTGCTGGGTCTGCCATTTCATGCTTGAGTCACGGCACTGCCACCATCTCTGTGCAAAGTTTATTTACACAGCTGTGTAGTATGTTCCTGCATTTACCCTTATCTCATAAGAAGAGATGGAATCTGGGAAAATAAGAGTGCTGATTTGGTGACAGATGCCACAGCTCTCAACACAGTGGAGACAGTGATTCGGTGTGTCCAAAGTGGCCGAGCTGCGGCCTCACTCACATGCTCACTGGTGTTAAGCAGAAGGTGTGTGAGATTTCCATTGCTGTGACAAAATACCTGAGAAAATCAGGTATTTACTCCTTTAAAGGGGGAAAGGTTTATTTTAGTTCATGGTTTTAGAGGCTTCAGTCCAGGGTCACTAGCTCAGTTGCTTTGCACCTGTGGCAGTGGGGAGCACATGGTAGAGGAAGACTGTTCACCTAATGAGAGCCCCACAATGACCTAACTTCCTTCTATGAGGCCCCACCTCCTAAAGTTTCCACCACTGCCCCATAGTACTATGGGCTGACCAATCCTTTAGCATGTAGGCCTTTGGGGGACATTTAAGATCTAAACTGTACTGATGGAGGTTAAGTGGCCAACAATTCAGGGATGAATCAGGGTTCAGGCATCTTTTTGGTTTGTGTTGCAGGTATTTTTGCTTTTATCTTCATGCTTGTCACACGTTAAAATCCCACAGTGGCTACCATAGTTGTACGCATTGCTACTTTTTTAAAAAGAAGGAAAGGTTTAGTTCAAGCAAAAGATCTTGGAATAAGCCAATTCTCCCCTATCGTGAAATCATTCCAATTATTTTTCATTCTACTTTTAAACTATATCTATAAAGGAAGAGAAAAATGATGTAATAGCAATCAGCAGCAAAATACAACCTCTCTGGGACCTGGAATTGAGACACCTGGGAAAAAACAACTTGGTAAAGAGAGAAAGAAGAAGAAGATATCTGGGAATTGGGAAGGAGATGGGATCAGCAGCTCCAAGGAGAAACAACAAACCAGGCCAGCAGTGCTAGCCCCAGGCAAAGGCCACAGCTATTGTAGACTGCAGAAACAGCCTGGGGCTTTACACTGAAAGTGACTCCTTCTGCATAGCAGGCTTGAGTTGGAAAAGGAATCCACCATATTTAAGAGGGTTTAATCAGGAGCCATTTGGGGAACGAGTTGTTTAAGACTGAACCATAGAACAATGTCACTTCAGGATTTTTGGTGTTACCCTACCATGGTGACTGGGTTCGAGTCAACCAAGAGACGCAGCCATAGAGAAAGTATGGGCTAGACATAGACCACCTTAGGAGTTGAAGCTCAGGCAAGGAAGGATACAGGACCCTGTCCTCCATGGTGAGAATGCAGGCCCAGTGTGTGTGGCTTTCAGAGGCAGATAGGTCTGGCATGAAGTCTAGCAGTCATCTGAACTCCTACCCTGCTCCCTATATCCAGTATAGAGATCAGTGGTTTGGTTGCTTTCCCCACCTACCAATGTGAGCAAGGACATGCCTCAGTTTAGACAATTGCCATGAAAAGGTACAAAGCAGAAATCCAGGAATTAAAAAATCTACTGAAATTATGGGCAGCAGAAGTGACCAATGTGAGGACAGAGTGTCAGAACTACTAGAAGACAGGGCTGATGTCAGTGACCAGTTACTCGGAGATACCTTAAAAACAAGCGAACATGAAAAATGGATCCAACAGTTGCTAGATAACTCTAAGGAGACTAATCTAAGATTAATTGGATTAGTGAAAAACCTGAAGACAGCACAGATGGCATAAAAACTCTCATTACAGAAATAATATCAGAAAACTTTCCAAATATAGAGGAAGAATTTAACATACAG